TCAACATCCCTGACCCAAAAACCAACAAACTCAGTACCCTCCCACTCAAAAACCATGGTCCAACATGAACCCAAACCCACTGCCCTTTCTGCCCCTAGCAAAACCGTACCCGCCACCTCATTATACAATCTCCAAAAGAAGCCAACCACCAAGCCTAATGTTACTAGCTGCTATCATTGTCAAAGGTCTGGTCATTATGCTATTACATGCCCAAATAAGAGAATGATGGCCTTGGTTAAATGTGAAAAGCAACCAGAAACTTTGGGGCAAGAACAAGCACAAGATGTTAAGTCTCTAGGCCAAGAAGAAGATGAACTCGTGGTCATTGATAGACCATTGAGTAGTTTGGCTGATCAAAATGAGTTTGGAATAAAACCTCTCTTGAAATCATGCTCCATTGAATGGCTAAACAATGGAAGAGAACTACGAGTGGAATTGCGTAGTTTTTCTTTGTTTTATGTTGACAAGCCATGGCCACCGGATTTTGTGGGATATGTTGATGTGTATCCATTGAGAAAAAGGGAACCCACATGTTTATCCCTACCCATTTCCATGCCTCACCAAGGGAGAGAACAACGGACTCATCTAAGTTTAGGTGAGAATAAGACCAATGGTGAATTAGAGAAGAAGGATGTTGCTGCCACCAGAGATGAGTTCTTAGGCTATGGCTTAACTAGCTTAAATGTGCAAGTTGATGAGAAAGAAGATTCAACGTGGACCTATGAGCCAAGATGTGGAAGCCTCATCTCAAAGACTGTCTTCGCTCACGGTACCTTGTGCCAAGTGTCTTAAGTTTTTGCAGGTTCCATGTGATGAAGAAACTTCCGAGTTTTATCATAAGACTCGTGAAAAGCTTATGAAGACAAAGGAGTTGAAAAGTTCCATCCACTTTCAGCCCGGAGACCTAGTGTGGGTCCATGTGCAAAGAGAGCGTTTCTCTGACAAACGCAAGGCAAAGCTTCAACCCCGAGACGATGGTCCATTAGAAGTGGTAGCCAATGTCAAAAACAATGTTTACACGGTTGCTCTCAGTAGAAGAGATGGAGTTTCTGCCACTTTCAATAAGAGAGACCTCAGTCCATATGACGGTCTTGATTATCCGTTGAGTTTGAGGGCAAACTCTTTTGAAGACCGGGAGGATGATGTATCCGAGCCCGACCCTTTCAGGTCCTTCCCCACGCCTCACACAATCATGGGAGCCAAAGGACTTACGTTCAAACATTATGATCCATTTTAGTGAAAATTCAAAGGTCTTTTAACCCGAAAGGCCAAAATAACTTTCGTTACTGACCTAAGGGTTCCGCTAGCCAACCCCCACTCCGTCCAACCCAACCCTAAACATCCAAATATATTTCATTTCCTTTTGATATCCAAAATAAAGTATCTTCTATCTATTTTAATCCCAGGTCACAATAGGAAACCAAAACAGCCCCATTCATCTTCCAACATCCACCCAACATGGTCCCTACTATGTTCCCTAGTACAACCCACTAAACAACCATAAAATTCCAGGAGAAACATGGTACTTTCTTAACCCTTTAACCACCAAATAAATCCTCATATATGCAGCCAAAGTACCACACATTATCCTTTCCCTTTGTCCCCCCTAGTTGGCTGAACACATCCCCCCCCAAATCAGCCCAAAAGAATGCTATCCATTCC